CTTAAATCCTGCTGAGAGAAAAGAGCTTGAATTTGCCATTCACAATCAAGAAACTTTTGAGATGCCACTGGGCCCCGAGGGCAAGACCAGAGAGGAAGAGGCTCAAGATTGGCGGCTTTATCCCTTAGAAGATGGAGGAAAGCTGGGCTGCAGAATCTGGAGTGAACGTCTAAGGAGCTATTAAGATTTTAGAGAGTCTTAGTGTAGATGTAAAGGCGGAAGGACTCTGAAAATTGCCTTTATGAAGCGAGCTGGAGGAGATGCTCAGGAAATCTTCTCATAACAAGTAACAAACAAACTAACATAAGCTTAGAAAGACAGGTTCTCACAAAGTATATTGTTTATTAACAGCTTTTCTTTTTTATTACTAACGGTAGCTTAACAGGGAATGATCTCCTAACCTTGGGTTTTTAGTGTACTGTGGGTTGCTTTTCTTTCTCCCTAGTTGTAGTTACCCTTTCCCTATTTTTTCTTGGTAGTTTTTTCTCTGGGGACTTAAAAAAACAAGAGAGATCTACACAACTTGGAAGATGGATGGACAAACACACCCAGCCACTTCACATTCCCACTCAGAGCTTTTGAAGAGTAAATAAAAAACACTAATTTTATTCGAGGTAAAATCACCATGGTATACTCAAACTTCATCAGAACTCTCCCCCCCCATGACCCCTCTCTTTTACCCCAACTTATCTCCCTTGTTGGTATGGAGCAATGAGATGGTGAGATGACACAGATTAATGGAGAGAAAATACTGCGTATTGGGAATCGTAGTGTAATATCAGGCAATCTGGGAACTACACTTATTCTAAAGCACAGACAAGGGGAAACAGAGAAGGAAAGAGAGGAGAAATGGAACAAGAGGCAGCAAGCCTTTTCCCCCTTCCTCTCAGTTGCCTCATGCCACCACCTAACTGACCTGCATTGACAGGCAAGATAAACTGAGGAGGAGGAGGAGCATTTACCATTCAGAGATCTCAGAACCTAAGTCTCACCTCGCTTTAAAACCTGGCCTGAGTGGCTGACTCTCATACTCTTAGCAAATGAGCATGAACCATTAGCATCTGGAACTGGAACTCACCTCTTTCCCATGTAGCTGACACTCTGTAGTCTTGAGCCACCATTCGTTTGGCCAGCAAGGGATGTTTAGTAGCCATAGATCTGCACAGGTGAAGCAAGTCTTCCAGAAGTACGGGGCTTTAAAAGCAGAAGTTAGTCAGGGCTCAAATTAGAGTTATGTACACATAAGAGAGCACTATAATAAAATTATAATATATAATCATGTAATTTGAGTTTAACTTTCAACTTCAAAAAGTACCAGGTATGAATTATGAAGCCAATCAGTACTGTGTGCAACAACTGTAGGATGTAAACAGGACAGTGCTGAGAAAGTTCTGGACAGCTGACATAGTGCAGCAGCTAAGAGAATGAGCTGTGACCCAGGAGATCTCCAACTTCCAAGGTAGTTCTAAGCAACCCAGGCAAGCCTTGCTCAGGCCCACTCCCCCACCCCCACCCAATCCGGGGCTATCAATGTCCCACTTTACAGGCAGTGCATAAGGATTTCAGTAGTATGAGTGAATCACCTTATATATGAAAAACTATATTTTTATTTACTTAATTCATTCATAGTCTTTCTCAAGACATTGCAACATTTTAAAAATGCAATAAAACAGTATAAAGCATACAATAAACATTGCAATAAAAATTACCTAACATATTTTTCACCACAAAAATGACTGCCCTGTTGCTTTTATAAAGATGCCCTCCTGATCTGTTCTGTTTTACCACTAGCCCATATTCCCAATTACAAATGTACTAAAAACTGAAATCTACACTTTTTTCCTCACACTGATTTACCAAACTTGTCTGTAAGCCAACCCACTACTTCTCATTTAAAGGTAAAGGTTCCCTTGCTCAAAAGCCAGTCGAGTCCGACTCTAGGGGTGCGGTGCTCATCTCCGTTTCAAAGCCGAAGAGCCAGCGCCGTCCGAAGACGTTTCCGTGGTCATGTGGCCAGCATGACTAAACACCAAGGCGCACGGAACGCTGTTACCTTCCCACCGAAGTGGTACCTATTTATCTACTTGCAATTTCTTGCTTTCGAACTGCTAGGTTAGCAGGAGCTGGAACTAGAGATGGGAGCTCACTCCATCATGCGGCACCCGGGTCTTGAACTGCTGAACTACTGACCTTCCACAGCCTGCAGTTCAGCATCTTAACCACTTGAGCCACCACAGCTCCTTTTCTCATTTAAAAGGAAGCTGTAAAATGACATTCCCAGCCTCCCAACTTAATACAGCAGCTAGGTGTAGGTCAGTCATCCATCCAGTAAGGTGTTCCAAAAAAATCCAATAGCTGAGACACACTTTTCTTCTAAATTAACACTGAAGGCACAACTATCAATTCAGAAACTCCAGCTAGTGCATAACACCGCAGTTCAGCTATTATGAGGAACTAGACAGAGCATGCATATCACTCCCATTCTGCAGACACTCCACTGGTTGCCCATAAGGTACTGGCTGTCTCATATTTGTGAGACCGCCTCTCCCCCTCCACTCCACCATGATAGCATGGCTCATCTGGCCTGCCAAGCTGCAAATGGGCAAAACCAACAGCTGCCCATACATGAGCCTCCTCCCTTGTGGGCTGGCCCGCCTGAGGAGGTCAGGAAGGCTCCCACTCTCCAGCCTTTCTGCAAACTATGAAAAAGTGAATTATTCAGGAGAACTGTTCTGCACAGGCAATAGAGCTGTACTGCACTAAATGATTCACCAAACTACTCAGACAAATTATTAGGGACTGTGATCTATACTACTGTGTTTAGCATACTGAAACTAGGATCCTACTGTGTAATTTTTGTATAATTTGCAGAGGTGTTCAACTCATTTGTTACAAGGGCCAGATCTGAGATAAATGTCACTTTGTTTGGCCGGGCCACATGTGCCATAAAACTTAATGCCAGGTACTGGAGATATAAACTGTATAAAGGACAGCAGCTGGTATGCTCTGAGTTGTTGTATCCTCACTGCAAGGCCCCCATGGGCTGGGAGGAGGGTACAGAGGAAAACCCATATGGGTGGACTGGAGAGCCAGTGGTGCAGCACTGAACAGATGCTCCCACACGGCTTGACTGCTGCAGATGAGATTGTTCCACCATGCTGAAACCACAATTGGGAGTGGCTCTGCCCACCTACCCCCGAGCAGTCTCCTGTTCCTTCCCTTGCATAAGAGCCCTGGATGGGCCAGTTCCGGCCCCCAGGCCTTATGTTTGACACCCCGGTTTAATGTGTTTTATGTTTTACTTCAGTTTTTAGATCACAATCCCATTGTATTGTTTACTGACACCCTATCCTGTTGACTGTATTGATTCATTCTGTGTAATCCACCTTGAGTCCAAGTGAGAAAGGTAGACTATGAACATAAATAATTACAAATAAGAAATAACCTATAACCCCAAAAGCTCATTTTTAATGTGTGTATGAATTCTCACCTCCCACCCACCCTGATTCTGTATGAATCATTTATTTTAAACTGTTTGAAGGGGGCAAGCAAAAAAGTCACAGGGACTCAGACAGAGACAACAGGCAACATCCAGTGGCAAATAACTGCTGATACAGAGCAGGATTATATACTAAGGCCTGTTCTAGAAAGAGGCTCTGGGTGGGTGCCCCAGCCCTGGGCACTCTGCATCAATTTGCTGTGATGACCAATGCTGAAACAATGACCCAAAGGAAACAAGTCAGAAACTTACCAATAAGTTTCTTCCATGATTTCCTCCTCACTGCTAACCCAGAAGCGTGCATGAGATATTGCATTTAGGACTCTCTCATCCTGATTTTCCAGTTGATTAGCTGTGTCAGTCATTATGCTAAGTATTCGCAGAGGTAAACCATCTATTACCTTTGTCTTCGTTAGCCATGATGCTTGCTTTACTCCTTGAAATCAAAGAAATATTTCACTGTGAAATATTTTCCCATACTGCATTTTATACTACCATTTGCTGTACAGTGATGTTCTATAACTTATGATATATACTCTATTTTTAAAGAGGAGAGGGGAGAAATTTGTTTTAGAAAGGTAAACAAACTTCTTGAGCCATAAAAGTAACAGAAAAACAGGACTGCCCATCTGTTTCATGGAATAACTGAAGTTTCCATCTTTAAATGCAATAGACAAGATGATCACCGGACCCTTTTTAACACACACACACACGCACAATTGTTAAGAGCTGTGAGGAAGTCTGGGCTGAGAGACCTGGTGAAGTAACAGAAAAACAGGACTGCCCATCTGTTTCATGGAATAACTGAAGTTTCCATCTTTAAATGCAATAGACAAGATGATCACCGGACCCTTTTTAACACACACACACACGCACAATTGTTAAGAGCTGTGAGGAAGTCTGGGCTGAGAGACCTGGTCGTACACGTCAGATC